CTGTCGAGTAAGTAAAGACAAGATAGCTTAAATATACTTGAGAAATAAGTTTAGCAACCTTAGACCAATCCTTACCATTCATTTCATTGGAAGCTTGTCACGTGAGGATTATTTTCTTCTTATTTTATTTATCTTTTTATTTACTGTCTTTACCATTTCTCATTGCCTCAACATTTCACCATACTCAACATTAAATATCCATCATTGCCACTGCATTTCCATTTGCTACACCATTACACCATCAATCCGCATCCACCAACATACACATATCCATTGCCGTGACATTTGTATATATCAAGACTAACTATACTTAAATAATTTAGTGCGTTGCTTTGGTTAGACTTTTGTGATTTCACCCAATCCCTGTGGAGACGATACTCACTCATCATTATATTACTTGAGCGATTGTGTATACTTGCACATTATTTGCGTATATTTTATAGTACTCACAACACGCGAACATCCACCAATGAGAGTTATCAAGATTCAAATGAAGAGGTGGATGAAGATGGTGATGAAGAAGAAGAGATAGTCAAGCTCTTCAAAAAGTTCAAGAGATTCATGTCTTCCAAGGAAGTGACGCATGAATCGACCAAGAAGAAAAGTCCTCCGGTGTGCTTTAATTGTCAAAGAACAGGGCATGTCAAGTATGAATGTCCTCTCCTAAAGAATAAGAGATTAAGTAAGAAAAAGGCATTTGTGGCAGCTTGTAGTGATGAAGATGAAGTAGCCAAACTATGCCTCATGGCCATCTGAGAAGATTCAATGGTATCTTATAACTCAAATGAATTAAATTCACATTATTTTGATGAGTTACAAGATGCTTATAATGAGTTGTATTTGGAATTTGAGACCATGAATTCCAAATATAATAAATTAATTTCAAAACTTAAAGTTGAAAATGATTTGGTTTTGAAAACAAAAGTTGATTTTGAAAAATGATTTAGAGCTTTCAAAAGTCAAAATCAATGATTTAGAAAAACAAAATTTTGATTTGAAAGTTAAGCTTGATAGCTTAACAAAAGAAAAAAGAATTAAATTCTAAAAACAACTCATTATGTCTAAAAATGGCAAAATGCTCACATTGCCATTTTTATGGTCATTTGGAACATACTTGTCCCATAAAGAAAACAAAATCTTTTAAAATTAGACAAATATGGGTTCCTAAGGGAACAAGGGGCATTGAAACTAACGTACAAGGATCCAAAGCAATTTAGATACCAAAATCCAAATAAATGTCTCTTGTATGTGTGTGGGAGTAATTGTGATGAAAGTGAAGATATTCAAATGCTCTAGCCACACTTAAAAAAGGAATGGGTAACCTCTAAGCTTAATGCTTTTATTTTGATTGTTTGGTTGCCCGTTTTGTTTATGCATGCATGAGTTTTGATCTTAAATAATCATGTTTTGTTTTTCATCTCATGTATGATAAAAACAGTGTTATGATGAACATTTTAAAATTTTAATGTTTTTTTTTCATAATTTTTAGTTCATCATAATGAATTTTGTTCAAATTGATTTTCAATGCAAATGATATCTCTCAAACAATTTATATCAACTTTTCAAATGCCTTGATTTTACAAATTTTAAATTTTTGACCTAAATTTAAATGTTTATGCATGTGTTTTTAAAAGCAAAAGATATCTCTCTAACAATTGATATCAAATTCTTCAAATGCATAACAATTTTGAAAGCTTTATGCGCATGTACTTAATTTTAATTATTGGTATTGCATAAAGTATTTTAGACTTGGATATATTGAATTTCATGTGCTACTAACATGTTTGTTATTCTTTTTTGAAATTCAATTTTGTTTAAGTGTCAAGCTTTTAGAGTCAAATTTTGTTTGGAATGCACTTTTTGAGGGGGAGCTTAGATTTTTCAAATGCTTTTAATGTCTAATTTACCACTTACTCTCCAATGTTATTTTTGAACTTTAAAGTTGAATTATTTTTTATATAACAAAAAATGGGGGGAAATATGGTTTGAAAAATTCAATCTCTTAATGAAAAAAGGGGGAGCTGAACATTTTCATATATTTTCCAACAATTGGTATCTTTTTCATTAAATATTTTATTAAGGGGGCGTTTTGCCAAAAATAATTTTTCAAATGTTTTGTTATATCATAAAAGGGGAGATTGTTGAACTATATTTTGATATAACAATTAAGGAAAAATGTTTTTGGACTTGAGTTTTCAAAAAAAATAATTCAAAGTCCATTTAACTTGGAATTAAGCACAAAATAATTTTCTGAACAAGCAGTACCAATACTGTTTTTACAGTTTCGATACCACTTGAATATTACCGAACTGTTCATATGGTACCGATACCAAAGGTAAGGGAAGTATCGATACTCAATTGGTAGTATCGATATCATTGCTCAAATTCCAGTATGCAAAAATGGTACCAATACCTGAAGGGGTACCAATACTACTTTGTATAGTAGTATCGATACCATAGGAATAATATCGATATCATCAGGCCCCAACGGCTAGTAAATTTAAAAATAACAAAGTTAGTACCTATACTTCCTTTAGGAGTACTGATACCCTCTGTACTGGGCAATTTTATTTTGTAGAGATTTCATCCCCAAACGGCTAGAAATCATCCCCAACGGCTATAAAAGGCCACAACTTCATTCCAACATATAAATACAAATTCAAGACACTTGAAGAAGAGTTAGAACACCTATCCAAGCATTCAAACACAAGAGAAGAATTTTCCAATCTTATTTCCATCTCTCTTGTAAATATTAGTGTTTAGTGAGCTAAATTTGTAAACAACCTACCTTTGAGTGGTTTTATTGTTTACTTTTTTTTACCTTTTGTAAAAGGGGATTGGTTCTCATTTAGCCAAGTGAAAAACTAGGGAGTTGTAAAGGTTACTCTTGATCCTTGAAAAGAAAGAACAAATTAGTGAATTTGTTAGAAAATCCTTAGTGAGGAGCTAAGGTAGTGGAGGTAGACTTAGATGAGAAGTCTAACCACTATAAATCGCTGTGCAAATTTTCTCTATCTTTTACTCTCCTTACTCCCTAAACAAATTATTACCAATTCACCCCCTTGTAATCCTTTCAGTTATCAATTCGAGCTTCCGTAAATCCCAACAGTGGTTCATGCCATTCACGTTCCCATTTCATGTATGTGGGTGGGATATGGGATGGACGGTTTTTGGGTGGTTTTGATGGGGAGCCACACCTATAAATACCCATCTAACCAAGGTCCCTAAGCACCACAATCATTCATTCCAAAGCATTCCGTTTGAGAGCATTTGGAAATCTATTCCATTTAAATGAGGTTTTGAGTGCTTAGAAGACCAACTTTGGAGTGGCCTACGGTTGTTCACGGTGGTCAAAGGTGATTTGACGGTGGTGCAACCACATCCTAGATTTCGACATACGGTGTAGGCAATGGCTGGAGGTATTTTTAAACTATCTTTTCCACTGTGTTTGTGCTCGATGTATGCTTACAACAATGGCAAGGGTGGTTTAATAGTGATTGGTGGATTTAAGGGTTTAGGGGATTAGGGTGACAATTAGGGTGGTGGTAGCGACGTTGGAGATCCAGTCGATGGCCGTTCGTCGATGATAATTGTCGGGAAAGGGCGATGGCCAACAACTGACATGGATAAAGGGATTTGAAATTAAGGTTTTCAAAATTTTAGGTTTTTTTTAGAGATTTTTTTAAAAATTGAGTTTTTTAAATATAATAATATTCTTAAGTTTTTTATTTCCAATAAAAAGTTTAAAAATTTATAAACATGACATATGTTAACTAACAATTTTTTTAATGGTGGTGACCGGCGAGGCACTTAAATGATAACATTGGTAACGTTATGCACCTGAATTGACCAAAATAAATTTAGGCACCTAAATGGAAAAAATGTATAGTTTGAGATTTTTTTATATTAAACCTTATTTAATTGGCCTAAAAAGATAAAGATTTAATATAAAAATAAGTGTCCAAACTATATCATTTTTCTCATTCAGGTGTTTAAACTATTTTTCGATCAATCCAAGTAAACGTTACAATTTTAAGTGCCCCAACCATAATGACTGTTAAATAAATCCGTTAAGCGATATGTGTCACATTTATGTAATTTTAAATTTTTTTATTTAAAATAAAAATTAAAAAAAATATTTTTTTAAAAAAAATTTAAATAAAAAACCTTGTCTCCCTCCCCTCCCCTTGCAACTCCCTTCCCTCCCTTCCCTCTTATCCTTATGCAAATTCTTATAAATTTCTTCCTTCCTATGTTTCCTTCCTCCCATTCCCCCTTCCTATGTTTCCTTCCTCCCATTCCCCCTCCAGGTAGTGTTAAGCTTTAATCCCAACACCAAAACCACCTTAATGGGTTTAATATTTGTTGGGATTTGCGACTAAAACGGTTTGATCTCGCATTAGTAAGGGGTAGATGGTCGGTAGTGGATTCCGTCGACAGTAGGTGGGTGTTCATTGATGGTGACAAAGGGTAGCGACAAGCGTGTATATATAGCGATTATAATTAAGATTTTCAAAATTTGGGTTTTTTAAAATGAAGAGAGATTTAGGGTTTTTTAAATGAAAATTATATATTTTTGATTTTAAATAAAAAATTTAAGATTATATAAATATGACACGTGTCACTTAATGATGATATTTTTTAACTGTAATTACGATTGAAATATTTAAAATAGTAACATTTATAACATTACACACATAAATTGATCGAATAATAGTTTAGACATCTAAATAAGAAAAAGTGTCTAGTTGAGATGATTATTTTTATAATGGGCCAAAGATAAATGGAATGAGAAAAGAGATGTGATAAAAATCAAACTTTTCAATTCATTACACAAATTTATTTATTAGAAAAGTCAATTGTAACCCTAATCCTTTAAGAAAATATTTGACCTCGGCGATGACTTTCTCGTATTTTCGCATATAATAACTCGAAGAGCCTTAAAATCGCTTCTAATTTCCCCTGTTCTATTACTTTACTGGTGTATTAATTATTTTCTTAGCTTACTAATAACAAAGCTTCAAGCTTTGTCCTAAATTTCTTTTCCCACGACAAATATATTTTTGTTTTATTTTACATTTTTAATATCCCTCCATTTCCGTTCATTTAATTCCTTCGGGGCTAACTTTCCTAGAAAACAAACAGCAATTAGTAGTAGTTGAAACCCCAAAATTCCATAATGTAACTTTCTCGGCTACTTAATCGATTCTTGTTTCTCTTGCCTCGGCTCTTCACACCTTTTTCAAAATCAGTGCTGCCAAGTAAAGGAAGGCTCTTGGTCGATGTTTCGTAATTTAGACGGACTCTAATTAAGGTAACAAGATCTTTTTTATTTTCATTTCTTTGGGTAATGAAATCGATATTAGGTTTAGATTATCCCTTGCTGTTTTTTTTGGGGTATGTGGATTCAAGATTGGATCTTGAATTGAACCCTTTAATCTTAATTTTGATGTCCTTGCTTGTGTTAATACCTTCCAATTTTGATGCTTATTTCCTTTTTCAAGGATGGGCCTTTACCTTTACCAGTTGAAGTCTTGAAATTTTGATTAATACCTTTTAGTCCTCCTAGGTTTTTTTCTTGTCTTAGGGTTTTTTTTTACACTTGAAATGTTATGTAATTTTATACACGTCATTAAATTCCCGCTAGGACAACAATTATTACAATAAATTTGCTGAGAATTAGGCCATAATTGTCCATGAACCGAGGTTCCAGTGCCCGTGGCCATAATTTGATTTTTGCATGATTTATTTCGATACCTCAGGTTGGGTTGCACTGAAACATGGAGTGGAAGTGTTCATCTTCTGCTGCTGCATCTTCTCTTTGCAAGGCACCTTTAAATATCTCAACTACAATGCCGGAGAAGGATCTGGTTGAGACTAATGTTGATATTGACCTTCGAGAAATTTACTTCTTGATAATGCAATTTCTGTCAGTTGGTCCTTGCCAGAGAACTTTTGAGCTGTTATCAAAGGAACTTTTGGAACATCGGCTTTTACCCAGAAGATATCATTCTTGGTTTTCAAGAAGTGGTTATCATAGTGGGAACAATGACGATGATGGCATCTCATTCCCATTAAGTTTTAACAACTTAGTGGAAAGGTATACCTGCATCTTTTATTATTTGGTGTTAGCCATCAATGTTAAACAAGGGTTTGGACTTCATCGCAATAGCTTTATCTTGTATTAGCTAATGCTAGATAATTATAAACTCACATTTTTAATAGCACCTAACTCTCTGTTTTCCCTTTAAATATGTACTTCCTTACCGGTTAGTTGTTCCTCAACAATACAGGTCTTAATTAGCCTTGCCCTAATGAGTACCCAAAAGATATTAGACATGGTTGGTTTCCCTTTAATTGATTATGTAACGTATCATCTAAATTGAAAATAAGATTAACAAACAATGTTGGAAACTTCTATATTTAGCTCCACATCTTAATTGAACCTGCTTATATAGACTAGATTTCCCAGAAGCAATATTTTCTTTTTATGCTCTTATTAATTGTTTGGTTTTGGTTTAATGTCCACACTACTGAGTTCTACCTTGTAAAACTTGCAGGTATCCTCATGTCGAGCAAGATCACTTGGTAAAGCTTCTGAAGCAGCTACTCTGTACTCCATGCAGCAAAGCTGTAGGAGATGCTCATTCTCTAAGTGCTGCTGATGTCCCTACATTACTGGGATCTGGTTCCTTTTCACTTTTGAATTGTATGTGGTACTTTCATAGCAGTGTACTTTATGCTCTCTTTGTTTTCCCCTCCGTTCTGCAACTTTTCCATTGGGATTGTATTATGCAGACAGGAGTTGTTAATTAAGGTAGTTAGTATTTGTATACTGATTATGGAAATATGTTAAGAACATTTAATGTTATGGATATTTTTGTATGAACTTTGATCAAAGTATTGCTCTATCCATTTGTATCACTTCCTTGATTTTTGTCCTCGGACTAGTGAATAATCTGTTTTCTGATTTGGCAACTTTACCGTTTTGTTATGTAGCTGACAAGAGTATGAGTAATAGGCTGGGTAAGCCTATGCCTGCCTATCTTCGTTGGCCTCATATGCAAGCTGATCAAGTTCGTGGGTTAAGTATAAGAGAAATTGGGGGAGGCTTCCGGAAGCACCACCGAGCTCCCTCTATTCGGTCAGCGTGCTATGCTATTGCTAAACCATCTACCATGGTGCAAAAGATGCAGAACATAAAGAAGTTGAGGGGGCATCGGAATGCTGTCTATTGTGGTATGATCAACTGAACTAATATAGTTAGGATCTGCTTTTAGATAAATTTATTCCTAGGTGTACCTGTGGTAGTATTGTCGGAATCTAAAGAAACCCTTGAAATTCGTCAGAACCAGTGATAATGGTGATGTAGTCAATTTCCTGGCATGTTTGGTAGTGCATAAGTGTTCTTCTGTAAAAGATGATGATATATGTCTCTTTTGCCCTTTTTCTTTGCTTCAAATTGTCTGTCCATGTCACATTGTAGCAGCCATTCATTCATTTTTTCTTTCTTTTTACTGATTTTGCTGATTGGAACACGAGATAGTTCTAGTGAGATATTGATGCAGCATGCGAAGGAAATGCTTGAACTAAAAATTATGCTTTGTAATTTTGTTATATTTAACGAGTTTAACTGTGACCTTTTGTACTTAAATAGTATATTTTTCATATCTTGATTACTTTTGCTTCCCCCTTCCCGCCTAGGTATAGGATTTTGTAGATCATATTTTCTATTTTATTTTGGAGTATAGCTTATAATATTGTATTTGGTAATTTTTGTTTTAAGCATTTGCACTTCAAATGCCTAGGGAAAGAATTTGACTTCAAAAGCTATTGAATAGTTTTCATTCCTAGACACCCTAGTAATTCCTTGAAATTTGAAGTTTTCCCATATGGTGTTCATTCCCTTACAATTCCTCTAATTTATATTGCCAGGTTGGCACCTATAAAATTTCTTTAAGATCTTATTAGTGGAAAAACTCTTTCTGAGCCATGTTATTTTCACCATGTTCTTCTACACCTTGAGTTCATCATTTGGAAGATCTATGTTATCTAAATATCTAAGAGTCAAGTGGTAAACTAAACGTGTGGATTTATTATTAAGATAATTGAAAATACTTACAACTAGCTTTTCTTCTTACCAGAAGAGAAATGACGCTACTATATTTCTCATCCTTTTCTCCTTATGAAACTCCATACTAGGTCGGCAGGGATTATCTGTACTTTGTACAATTGCTCAAGCTTCAATAGATAATGGATTAAACAATATTGTTTTTGTTCTACAGCCATATTTGATCGCTCTGGGAGATACGTTATTACTGGTTCTGATGACCGCCTTGTCAAAATTTGGTCTATGGAAACTGCGTTTTGCTTGGCCAGCTGCCGTGGACATGAAGTGGGTTCATACTGTTTGTTTTATATATGCTATTCCTTAATATATCAGTTTAACTTGTAATATTTTATTTCTTTCTCTACATTAGCTGAAATTATTTTCCTGTTACATGCAATTTAGGGTGACATAACTGACCTGGCTGTTAGTTCGAACAATGTTTTGGTTGCATCTGCTTCCAATGATTTTGTGATACGAGTTGTAAGAATGCTTAACCATGCTTTACAAGATGCTCCTCATAAAACTCTAGCATTGCTAAATTGTTCTTAATGATCTACAGTGGCACTTGCCAGATGGGTTGCCAGTTTCAGTTCTACGAGGACATACTGCAGCTGTTACTGCAATTGCATTTAACCCCAGGCCTGCATTTGCTTTCCAGCTTTTATCGTGAGTCTTATTTCCACAGTTTCCGTTTCCTGTTACTAGAGTCTTTTATTTAGGTTTAACTTCATTTGCTTTTGACATGATTGTAAATTTATGGATCTTCAGTTGATCGTCAATTTTATATATTCTGTGCTAACGTTTGTAGGTCATCTGATGATGGGACTTGCCGAATCTGGGAGGCCAGATATTCACATTGTAGCCCACGCATATACCTGCCGAAGCCTTCTGAAGCTGCTACTGGTTGGAGAATTTCTTCTTGATTGTTTTGTTACTGTATATGCTTTGAATTCACTCTTAACTGATAAGTTCTCTGCAGGGAGTAGCAATTTTCCGTCTAATAATGGACCTTCCTCAAGTAATGTCCCACAAACTCATCAAATATTATGTTGTGCATTTAACGTCAATGGGACAGTTTTTGTCACTGGTAGCTCTGACACTTTTGCCAGGGTGCGTCTAAAACATTGTGAACTTGTCAAATGGACACTTAAATTTATTTAACTTTGATAGGTCTATATCATTTAGATTTCTTTAGTAAGAGATAGATACATGCATGCAGGTCTGGAGTGCCTGTAAGCCTAGTACCGATGATTCACAACAACCAGTTCATGAGCTGGATGTTTTGGCTGGCCATGAAAATGACGTTAATTACGTTCAATTTAGGTTGGTCAGTTAGAGTTGCCAGCTATATTGTTTTTATTTTATTTTACCATTGTTTTCAGCAAAATATCATTGCAGCTTTCCGCTTTTGTTTGCAGTGGATGTGCTGTACCTTCAAGATCCTCAATGTCTGATATCATAAAGGAGGACAATCTTCCAAAATTTAAAAACTCCTGGTCCGCTATATCTTCTTCTTAAGTTATGCTATATATTGTAGCTTAAAATTTTCTTCAGTTGTTTACTTCATCTGTTCATTATTTTAGTGTATAATATTGTGGTCTAGCTTCTTAGATTCAGTTCCTTCAATTTTAATGTTTTTAGGTTCTGTCAGGACAACATTGTTACCTGTTCTCGTGATGGTAGTGCAATAATCTGGATTCCCAGATCACGTAGATTCCATGTAAGTTGTTTTGATAAACCACAATCAAGTTCCAGTGCATGCCTTCAACTGAGTAGTCTCCTTTTGGAGTTATTTTGAACTTCAATTCCATGAAGTTCATTCTGTAATTAAGTTAAACAATATGAAAATGAAGCTTAATTCCTTTTGCAATCCTTCCACATCCACAGGGAAAAGTTGGACGTTGGACAAAGGCATATCATTTGAAAGTTCCACCCCCCCCGCTACCTCCTCAACCTCTTCGAGGAGGCCCACGTCAGAGACTCCTCCCTACTCCTCGTGGTGTCAATATGATTGTGTGGAGCCTTGATAATCGTTTTGTTCTAGCAGCTATAATGGGTAAAGAAATGATTTGTAAACATGAAAGTTTCTTTGAAAACTACAAGCTTAGCATCAAGTTAAAATGCTTATTCCATCAAAATAAAAAATGTCTAATGACTTTTCTTATGTTGGTTTATGTGCATCATTTCTTTCTCTATAAATTATGTATTTATCGTGTCCTTTAGTGTTTATTCTTTGATTTTTATTAACAATGTATGGTGTCACAACATTCTAGAAACACTTGTCTGCTACATTTACTTTTGCATTGCTATTGTTCGAACCTGTACTCTATGCATTTTTTAGTCTCTTAATTATTTTGAAATTTCCTTTGAATTTTACATCTTAAATGGCCCTCCAGAACTGCACCTCTCTTTTTGCTAAATTTGCTTTTGAAGGCATCTGTTAATCTTTTCCTGCTCTCAGAAAGTCACGACTTAACATCTTAAAGTTAACTATGCAAATTTGTGAAGGGGAAAAATAAGGAAGATAGAAAACAGTCTTGTGCAAGGCATTTGACCGACACTATTATTGAAATGTTGTGCTATTTTGTCATTATTATTTTTTAAAGTTCTTATTGTTAACCCTACTATCCTTTTTGCTGGGGGTTGGTAGTTTATGTGTAGACTCTTATTTTTGGTATATGTACTTTTACATGCAAGTTGTAAGAGGCAATGTGCATATCTTGAGATGATTCCTGTCCCTTTAACCATCAATAAAACTGTACCTTGGGACCTATATTCGTATTACAATCTTTCTGCTGTAAATTGTTGCTTGCTGAATCTTTCTTCTGCTCAATCTTAAGCCAAAGGCTTTTAGTTCCTATTATAAAAAATATAAAACCTTCATCATTTTATATGCCTTTTTAGTTTAGCGGGTACTGGCTGTGTTTTCTTTTTAATTCTTTTTGGGCTCCTTGTTTAAAATTGCTAACTTGGACCATTGGGGGGTCTCAACTATGTTGTTATTTCAGATTGCAGAATATGCGTGTGGAATGCTGTTGATGGAAGCTTGGTACATTCTTTGACTGGTCATGTTGCATCAGTAAGTTGTGTGTAGCATTTTTTTGCTCTTCACATTGTCCTTTTTCTTCTTGTTGACAACGAAAAAACAATTATAATGCCTCGTTTGGTGCAAAAGTATTAGCATAAGGGAAAAGCTTAATTATTACATTTATTACATGAGGTTTAAAATAGTTTGTCATAACATAAAGAAGAATTAGTATAAATCTAAAGTTGAAATTAGAAAAATGAGTAAAAACTCAAGTAAAAAAATAATACCTCTTCAAAATAAACAATATATATGCCTTCTTTTTGTTCAAATTAAACCATGTGAGTGGATAAAATTTACCAAGTGGAGTTAATTTATTGCTAACTCATGTGCTAAAGCACGAGGAAAAAATAACACTCCTACCAAATGTAGCATTATAAAGAGATGATTTCCTTATAAGGTTAAATTTACAAAACTCGTTGTAACACCCATTTCCCGTATACGTTTCCGTACACAAGTCATAGGTGTCATAACTTTTTAAAACACTAACCCGTTTGTAAAACCCATAAATTTTTTTGTTTCGAAAATTAAAACATAACATTTTAGTACAACAATAAAACAGTCGTTGAAACATATTACCAAAATTATCACTTTAAATACATTACAGAGCATTTTTCTTTTTTTCGATTACATGCTAGCAAATTTTCAAAATAAACATGATTGTCCTACTGTTACTGATGAGAGTTAATCTTAGATTGATGATAGTTACTGCACCCTTTACCTGCTAGTCTTTGCTTTTACCTACGCGTGAAATCAATACACGTTAAGTATTTACTTAGTGATACATAATATTGTAAAGAAATTGCAATTTATACATAAGTATATAATGGATATTTAATGACGAATTAAATCGCATACTCCATAAGGATCAAATAAATCCTTCTCAGTTAAACTAGATTTCTTTCATACGATCTTCGAATTTATTCTTAGTATGCCCAACATACCTATCCTTCTGTATATTTTTCTCAATTATTCTTTGTTTAATCTATGTACGTTAAATGAGAAAGTAATATACATGTATTGCATCAAAGTGCCAAATGGTCATTTATCTTTTATAATTTCCATGAGTGGCACCTTATATGCCGTTAATATACCGTTATGTATTTTCATTGGTGGCATCATTTCATGCCAATTATGCACCGTTAAGCATTTTTATTGAGATTATTGAAGGTTATGGGTTTTGGCGATAAATGAATTTCTTGGATTGAATGTTGTATCTCTTCAGCCTCAATTTCGATGCTAGTTAATGGATCTCCTACAGAGAAATTCCATATTAGTAAAGGGTTGAGACAAGGTTGCAGTCTGTCCCCTCTTTTGTTTAATTTAGTTGGGGAATTGTTAAATTTGATGCTAATCAAGGCTGCTGATCTGGGGCTGTTTCAAGGGTTCAGTATTGGTAGGTGTAATAATACCTTCCATTTGACACATTTACAGTTTGCAGATGATCTTATATTATTCTGCAGAGATTCTCCAACTCATTTTTTAAACATTAAGAGAGTTTTGAGGGTGTTCAGCCTAATGTCAAGACTGCATTTAAATTTGTCTAAGAGCACCTTGTATGGTGTTAATTTGGAAAATGACGTGCTAAAAGATTGGGCTAAGGAAGCAGGCTGTGGAGTGGGGTCTTTTCCTATGACTTATCTTGGTTTACCGCTTGGTACTAAGAAGAATTCAGAGGTTGTGTGGGAACCAGTAATCCAGAATTTTTACAAAAGACTAGCAGGGTGGAAACCTAATTCCTTGTCGATGGCGGGAAGACTTGTATTGGTCAAATCAATGCTGTCCTCCTTATCGATGTTTTATCTCTCTATTTTCAAAATGCCAGTCAAGGTGACTCAGAAGCTTAATTCCCTGATGGCTAAGTTTCTTTGGGGAGAAGTTCAAGCTCGGAAACGAATTCACTGGGTGAATTGGAAATCGGTCTGTCAACCATTCGAAGATGGTGGGTTGGGAATCCTTGATCTTAGTTTGTTGAATAGAGTATTGCTTGGGAAATGGGTTTGGAAATTCACAAATGATAAAAACAGCCTGTGGAAGAAGATGATCTGTTGTAAAAATAACGTTAGTAACTTCTCTTTGAACTTAACAAAGGTTGTCTCTCCACTTGATTCTTGGATTTGGAGAGGTATTGTGAATAATTATGTCAAAACTGATTAGATTGGGGACTGTTTGAGATATAATTCAAAGGTTCAAGTGGGGAATGGTAGGTCAATTGAGTTCTGGAATGATGTTTGGGTTAGTAATTTGTCCCTTAAAACTCAATTCCCCAGAATTTTTGCTCTTTCGATTAATAAATTTGGGAAAGTAGCTGAGTTTGGTGGCTTTGTCAATAATGCATGGGTTTGGAATATTCAATTAAGAAGAAATTTGTGTGACTGGGAATTGGATCAGTGGATTGCATTAATGTCCTTGATTAACAATATTGTTCTTTCTGACGTAGTGGATGACTTTCTTTCTTGGTCTGGGAAGGGGGATGGGCTGTTCAGTCAAGTCATGTAGATTGGCGTTTTCATGCGGGTCTGAAAGAAGTTTCGAGTGGAATAAGTGGGTATGGTCTGGATTGGCTCCCCCTAGAGTTGAAACTTTTATTTGGCAGATTTGTCATCGAAAAGTAGCTGTTAGAGGAGAGTTGAAGAAGAGAGGTATTCCTTTGGATGATTTGTTGTGTCCTTTATGCCATAGTCATGAAGAAATTTTAGAACACCTGTTCTTTTCTTGTTCGGTTGCACGAGAGACTTGGAATTATTTTTTAAGGCTATGGGATATTTCTACTGTTTTGCCTAATGACCCCATGTCCCTTCTTTGTTCTTGGTCGTATCTAAGACTGAACTCTCTTATTTGGAGTTTTATCCTGAGTGTTGTGTTATGGTCAATTTGGAAGGCTAGGAATATGGTGGTGTTTGAGAACGGAAGAGTTGACAGTTCTAATCTATTCTTCATCGCCATGTTTAGGCCAGCTAAGTGGTATTTGGCTAAATACCCTACTGTTCGCATCCAGACATATTTATTAGTTGGGGATCCTTCGTTGGCAGATAAGTTTCAAATCCATCCTATCGCAAAGAAGGCTATTTGTTGGTCTCCTCCTCCTCCGGATATGTTTAAATTCAATGTTGATGGGGCAATGAGTGGAGACAGGTTGCAAGGTGGAATTGGAGGTATTCTAAAAAGTTCAAACTGTTCAACTTTAGCAACATTCTCTACTGCTGTAGGGCTTGGTCCTGCTATTTTGACAGAGTTGAAAGTTATTAAGGTGGGAATTGATGGTTTCTACTCTTCTGTTTGGGCTAAGAAAGGCATTCTGATTATTGAGACCGACTGTACAATTGCAGTACAATGGATCTCAGAGCTGTATTCTGCACCTTCGTTTTTCAGTGATCTAGTGAAGGAAATTGGGACTTCAAGGTTTGAGAAGGGCTTCTTGCTTAGATTGATTCCTAGGAGCTGTAACTTGGAGGTCGATAAATTAGCTAAGGAGGGGATTGGTTGATAGTTACATGCCTTTGTCTATATGTGTTGTGCTCTTCTTTGGGCATTATTTTGGTTTTCAGTTTAGGTGTTGCTAGGGTCGTACTCAGGGCAGCCATGTAGAGGCTGTTGCCTTAGCTAAGTTGGATTAGGTTAAGTTAGTCTTTGTTTTTGGCTGTTTAAGGGTGTTTTGTGGTTTTCTGTTTTTAAGGGGGGTGTTTTTTCTGGTTGTATCTTATGTATTTTCAAGTTTAATGAAATCCTAAGGCACTCTTTTCCTCCTTCCACTGATTAAGGAGCTTTTAACAGCTCAATTAATCAAGAAGGGGGTTTTTAACGAGGCCTTCAATTCCTATAAAAAAAACATCCTTTCATGCCTATAATGCACCGTTATGCATTTTCATTTATGCCATCCTTTCATGCCTATAATGCACCGTTATGCATTTTCATTTATGACATCCTTTCATGCCGATAATGCACCGTTACGCATTTTCATTTATTACATCATTTCATGCCTATAATGCACCGTTATGCATTTTCATTTATGGCATCCTTTCATGCCAAAGGCATTTAACCTGTCATCTAACTTACATTATTGACACCTTTCTGCAGAATGCATAGTTAGACATTTAATCTTTCATCCAAAGGCATTAAACCTTTCATCTATCTTGCATTATTGGTACCTTTCTGCCAAATGCACAGTTAGACATTTAATCTTTCATTTTAGAACAGTTCCTACCCTAAAAATTATTCATAATATCAATTCCACATACATTATAAATATATATCATATACGGTAAAACATACATTAATTCAAACATATGAGGTTGACTTATTGTGAGTCTCCCTCATCCCATATAATTACAATATATGCGCTCACCTGGCCTGCTTCGCTATTTTATCCAAAATTCAAATCTGACTACTCAGTGACTTTATCTTTGCCTTTCGATTTGCTTGACTCGGGAGCTTGATTGCGATCTATTCAAACATCCATTAAAGACACATACCATACCAAATGTTAGTATATTCCCTAACATTTATACTTTAACAATACTCAAAAGTACTATTATTTAATTTTCTATAACAATCTCAACCTCTCTTAAAATTTCTGGCTCAATAGTATCGGTACCCCTACCATAGTATCGATACTTCTATACTGTGGTATCGAGACTCCCTTTCAGTATCGATACCATTTCTACATTCTATAATCCATGGTATCGATACCTTCCTTTTAGTATCGATACCCACATCAGTATTGATATTAATTGCATCAGTATCGATACTAATTGCATCAGTATCAATACTGTTAATCATAATTATTCAAATTTAAACCTATAGTATCAGTACTGTTCTTCCAGTACTGATACCTTTACCCAAATTTTCCATTTTTCAGCTCGATTTTTACTAAATTTTCTTTTAAAACTCTACTTTTACCTCAAATAATGCCCTTAAACTTAACATCACTTAATCCAACTAACTTCCCTCCATTTAGCTTCTTATAACATCAAAATTCTCCGAAGAACATCTCAAACTAAGAATCATACTACTTTTTATAACATGTTTTTAATCATATTCAAGGCTTCTAATCTCTTATTTACTTCTTTGACAATTCAAATATATTTGTAAACATCAATAAAAACTCATATTTCAACAAATCACTCAAAAACCCATTTTCTTAAATCTAAAATAAAACATCCATTTCTTAGTTTTAATCCTCTTTAACCCTTTCTTAAGCTTACACATCACTTAAGGTTTCAAGAACGAATCTAAAACGAAAGGAAAACCAACGTTGAAGAACCCTTACCTTGGCTATGGAGAGCATAGGACTAGGAGGAAGAAAAAGGGAACTTAGTTTGTTCTCCCTTTTTCCCCTTTTCAAAAACCCTAATTAAAATGAATTTTAAATCCATTTCCCTCTAAAGGTCCAAAATACCCTTTCATTCTTCCATTCTTACCAATTGGTCATAATTAAAATTTCTAAATCATTTTCTTATATTTTACCATTTATTCAATTTAATCATCCAATTTTTTAAATTTTTTCAATATGGTCACTGACCTGATATTTGGGGTATTACACTCGTCCTCGTTGTCCAGCTCTTTCTAAATTCAGTTGAAAGTATTCTTCCTTTCAATCCAGTGAATAACTTGAATGAACTTCATCGGCTTAATATGCACTTCACTTTTAAGTATTCTCAGTTAACATGATGCACTTGCTTTCCTAAAATCAGATTTTGTCACGAATTTAAGATGAATGTCATGCAATTAATATTATTTGGTTCGCACTCCAAATATCTCTATCTATATATATTATTTGGTTTGTTCTTATAATGCGTCACATGCTTGTTGCTGGTATTCTCGGACATCCATTTCCTTCTCAACTGTTTGGCATCTTGTTGAAAAGAATTTATCATTTAATTAATTCCTAACTTCAATGTTGAATATTTGGCAGTCTTATGTTTTGGATGTGCATCCTTTCAACCCTCGAATTGCGATGAGTGCTGGATATGATGGAAAAACTATAGTTTGGGATGTGAGTTTCCTGTTCTTGATGATCTGTTGACTTGCTGCTGAATTATTTGTTTATTTACTCTGTAAGTGTTGACTTTTATTGAGTTCCTTGGGAACTACATTTCCAGATATGGGAGGGCGTACCCATCCGGATATATGAAATTGGGCGTTTTAAGTTGGTTGATGGGAAGTTTTCTCCGTAAGTGGATTTTCACCTTTTAATTTCTTTTAGTTGCTTTATTTTGTTGGAAATATGACATACCCTTTTCATTGATCTTGTAAAAGTTCATCTATCAAGACAAGGATTATTACATCAATCCTTCTTAGCGATTCAACTACCTTTTATCCCTATAGCATTTCATATTTGGGTTTGGTTCCATCCATTTTATGATCCTTGACTGCACATATTCTTTTGACAGACTCCATTATTAGTTAATCAACTAGTTACTGTTTGTTTTTTTTTTGACATTTTGGCTATATGGTCCTGTTGATACACAAGTTTATGCTTCATGAGGTACACACAAGGCCGGGTTAGGGTTTTCAGGAAGTTTCTCCACAGATTTTTGCTGTATGCAGACTTGGATAAGATATGCTCTGGTTTTGTTAGCTGGATATTCCAGCTGTTCTATTGAAAAAGTTTAGGACCATCAAAATGTTAAAGAATGGATTTTATGATGTGCTGACTTTGACACTTTACCCTTGAGAGGGAGGTGCACGCATATGCTTAGAGTTCTGAATGGCTAGAAGCCAACAAGAATGCTTTGTTATGTTGGCTGGTTTATATCTGTAGCTTTCACTGGCAGTGTTTTCTTTCCTTTGGAAAAAAAAAAACTTTGTAGGTTTTGTCGTATTCATTTGAAATCTGAACTATTTTATTAAATCTCGAGAGCTTTTCTTGTGAAGAGCCTGTAACATTTTCCCCTTTGGTTATTAGGGATGGAACGTCAATTGTACTTTCAGATGAAGTTGGGCAGATACATTTGCTTAACACTGGCCAGGGTGAGTCTCAAATGGATGCCAAATATGATCAGGTAGCTGAGAACTTTACTTGTTGAGCCTAAATCTCCCCTTCTCCCCTCATGATATTAGTTGTGTCATGCAATTTCTTTATGAGGTGGTCTATACCTTTTTTTGGCAGTTCTTTCTTGGGGATTATCGCCCCCTTATTTGGGATTCTGCTGGAAATGCTCTTGATCAGGTATGTTGCAATTCCACGTTAAATTATCATGTGGTAGATTTCATGGTAGTCCAAAAATATCAATATGTATTGCACCAAACTACGAGAAGCGGAAGAGATTTGAAGCATTGTTTTTGTTCCTATGCAATGCTTGTGCATCAATTTGCAACTGATGTGCTATTCATATAACTTTGCTGCAGGAGACACAGTCTACCCCACATCGTAGGAACATGCAAGATCTTATTTGTGATGCCAGTATGATCATTGCTTTAGTGAATTGTTTGGTATGTTATCCTAATATAATGTAGTTAATGATTTTGATGAGAATTTCCAGGCATGATTCCATACCCAGAACCTTATCAGAGTATGTACCAGAAACGGCGACTTGGCGCACTGGGTATTGAGTGGCATCCATCTTCAACAAAGTTTGCTATTGGCCCAGATATCAGTTTAGGCCAGGATTTTGAAATGCCACTCCTGGAAGATCTGGAAAGAGTGATAGAACCCCTACCTGATTTCATGGATGCCATGTTTTGGGAACCTGAAAACGAAGTTATCAGTGATGACACTGACTCGGAGTACAATGTTCCTGAGGAATGTTCTACAGAAGGTGAACAGGGGGCATTGTGTTCCAGCTCTTCTAGAGGCACAGAGAGCGGTGAAGAAGACAGTGAGGTTGAATGCAGTCACAAAGATGGTCTTCGTCGATCACGAAGAAAAAAAGGCAGCCCTGAAGTAATTGGGATTCGCCTTCTTCCTGTTTTTGTTATTGTCTGGACTATGTTTTAAACTAAATATTATCATTTTCAGGCTGCGTCGAAGACTTCATCAAGGAGACGAGTCAAAAAGAGGTATTTGGATGAGCGTGATGGCACTATACCCAGATCCAGTAGAACTAAAAAATCAAAAAGTGGCAGGAAAGCTTCAAAGAGGAAGTCTTCAAAAGCAAAGACAGTGAGACCTCAGAGAGCTCAGAGGGTTGCTGCACGTAATGCTCGAAGCATGATGTCTAGAATCACTGTGACATCTACAGATGGAGATGAAGTGGACTCAGTAGGTGATTCATTGAATAGTGAGTCAGTGTCTCAAGATTCAAGCTCTCAAAACAGCGAAACTGAGAGAAACTTGGAGACTGTAAAACTGAAGTCCATAGAAAAGGACCAAGAGTCTGAGGGCATAGTATGGTCTCATGAACTTCCCAAATCGCAATCAGATACTGTGAACAGAAAGAGATTGGTCTTAAAGTTCTCCTTACGTGATTCTAGGAAGCCAGGTGCTTCAGAGGCCACCAGATTGAACACTTGCAATCAGATCAATGTACCGGGTCCTTCTTTGTCTGGGCCTTCAGTAGCTTTTGATGAGAATATAAATGACTGCTTGAAAGACCCTGGCTTAACGACTGCAGATGTGGAGCTCTCAGAGCATGACAGGGTTGATCTAGAAGGTACGAGGCAAACTGTAAACACTGAGGATCATTTAGAGAAATTTGTAGGGGACAAGGATAACAAAATCAGATGGGAAGAGGTTAAAATTCGGACATCCAAGCGTTCGAGGTCAGGAGATTTGGTGCCAACCAATGTCCACTATGAAAACAGGATTACTTCTTTAAATAGGTATGTTAAATGTATTGGAATTTTTATTCCCAACATAAGATCCATATTAATGGATATGTTTTGTCTTGCAGGGAAGAGAGACAGTTAACTACTACTGCATTGCAAGATCTGGACAGAGTGATGATGGAAGAGGTTTCTCCCGATGAGGCACACAAATCTTTACTGTCCCTAGGTGACCATCAACTGAATGGCAGTCCTTCGGCATCTTATTCTAATGTCAGCCTCAACCAGGGACATATAGGTTGGTCTGGCTGTGATAAATATGGAAATCATGACTCCTCGCAAACTGATCAAGTTATTGGTGTTAAACAATCTCATGAGTCAAATGAGATTACTCCACACAAATCAGTGAAATTAAGAATAAGAACAAAAGCAATTTCAAGGGACCTTGGAAGTCCTTCCAAACAAAAATCCATCACTATAGTGAATGATCCAACCTGCGATGAATGTGATATGAGGCCTAGAAACACTTTGTCTGCTACACTAAATCTTGGTTACAGCATGCAAGAAATGGGTGAAGGTTCTGACAGATCTAGGTTACAGCATTCAATTGGCTTAAATTCCATTAATGATCATGATTCAGAAACTGTGTTTCCCGAATCAGCAGGTGATGCAGATCGCCGAACACAATCCATGAAGATGAAGGTAAAAGTAGGTCATGCAGTAGCAACGACATCAGAAAATGATGAAAATTTATCTTCAAAAGGATACCATGGTATTGCATCTGAAGAATGGATGTCAAGTTCCAAACATAGAGACAGATCAAGATCCAACAGAACCAAGCGTAGCGGTGGTCATGACAATAACTTGAAATTTTCGAGTGGAAGGAAGTTGAATCCTTCTGTTAGAAAATTATCATGGTTGATGGTGTCAGAGCAGGAAGAGGGTTATCGTTATATACCTCAGCTGGGTGATGAAGTTGTATATTTCAGACAGGTATGCCATGCTTGCTCGGTTTTTTTTTGGGGTGCAAACTTGATAATCACTATTTAACCTGACTTGGAATATGGCGTTTTTTATTTCAGGGGCATGAAGAGTGCATCGAACAAGGTTTCATAAAGGGGACAGGTCCATGGAGCTCATGGGCACACCTGAGTGCAGTGGAAATTTGCAGGGTTGTGGACCTTGCTTATTCCCAAGTTCCTGGATCTGGAGAGAGTTGCTGTAAAATCAAACTTAGATTTGTAGATAATTCATCATGTGCAATTGATGAGGAATTCACATTGACTTTGCCTGAGTTGATAGGCCTTCCTGATTTTCTTGTTGAAAAGACGAGATATGATGCTGCATTGAGTAGAGAATGGGCTCGTAAGAATAAATGCCTAGTATGGTGGAAGAACTCTGATCAGGAGGGTGGAGATTGGTGGGATGGTAGAATCATTGCTTCACAGCCAAAATCTATGGATTTCCCTGATAGTCCTTGGGAAAAATATGAAGTTATTTACAAGGATGGCTGTAAATATCGGCACAGTGCTTGGGAACTGCATGACCCCAACACTCAATGGGCGCATCCACATATTGATTGTGAAATCAGAGATAAGCTCCTGTCTTCTTTTGATAAATTAGAGCGTTCAGCAGGCAGAGATAAGGTTCTTTCTAACTACTTACATTGGATGTTAACCTTTTCTTTAAGGTTGTAGAAGAATGATATATTGACTTAATTTTCCGCATTTCAAATGTTGCAGGATTTATATTTATTTCAGAAACTGAACGAAGCTGCTCAGAAATCAGAATTTCTTAACAGGTTCAAATTCCCAATTCAAATGCTCAATCATGTTTCTTTTCCTTTATGCTGTCTCTTCCTATCGCTTGTTTCAGAAATGTTGGCCTGCATATATATCTTCACTTGAACCGAATAAATCGGTTTATAGGCTATATTAAAAATCTGTTTAATTAGGAAAGAGAAAAGATTATTGATTTTCAGGTATTCAAAATATCTAAACCGTTATTCGACACTGGTCAATTCCATTTGTGTTCTTGAATTAATTTACTGGATTCATTGTTGCCTGCAACTTGCCAAAAGTAGTAGTGTAGTAGAGCCACCCTGCATTCATTGGATTGGGGCCTATAATCTATCAAGCAACTGAAACATAAACTAACATTTTGAAATGGAATTCTAACAGGTTTCCAGTTCCATTGTATCCCGAATTCATCCGGCTTAGGTTAGAGAACAACTATTATCGAACGTTGGAAGGGGTGAAGCATGACATAAAGATAATGCTTTCGAATGCGAAGAGTTATTTCGCTAGAAGCGCTCACCTGTCTTCAAAGATGAAGCCTCTATCAGATTGGTTTACAAAGACAATTGCCAAGATTGCAAGGAAGCTGTAAAGGTATTCTTTCTTTTTTCTTTTTAATCTCTTACATTTCAGGGGGTCCAATTTTGTAAAACCAACAATTGTTTAGGCATATTAAAGAACATTGATAAAAGGAAAGGGATGCCTGCAATTCTGTTCTCATTTACAGATATGCATATCCTTTGTGATTTATAAGTGAATGAAATTGCACATCTAATTTGATAAAACAATCCCATAGTGTTAAATTAATATCCCATTTCATGGTCGATGTTTGGGGTTTGTAGCTGTTTTAACAATTCTATTTGAAACTAAATTCTCTCTATTAGTGTAATGTGTCTTGTCATTTTATTTTATACTTAATTTATGGCTTAATATAAAAATAAGTGTCTAAATTATACCGTGTCTAAATTTTTTTTCGGTCAATCTACGTGTCTAACATTACAAACGTTATCACTTTAGGTGCTCCTACCGTAACGGTCGTTAAAAAATCCCGTCATCACGTTTCACTTAATTTTGAAAATTTTATTTAAAATAAAAAAATTTAAAAATAATTTTTTATTAAAAAGTCTAATTTTTTTAGAAATTCAAAAAAAAACCCAAAAACTTTATTTTAATCCTATACCAACATTGATTGTCGCTTTTGCCACCAGACCTTCACCTGATCGTACCTCTAGCTGGCGACAAGATGATTTCGACCACTTAGAACCCAAAACTCGACAAATCTCGACACCCACTCGATTTAAATGTCGGTTTTTTAAATCGCCTAACCCACATGATTCGTGACACATGTCGACTCCAATAGCCATATCGACGGTGACAAGACAAAGGAGATGGCAAGAGCGACAAATAAGGGATATAAAGAGCGACATTATCGTGGAATGTCATGGTCGGTAAGAGAGTAAGGTAAAGTTAGGATTAGGGATTTGAGATTTTCAGGGATTTGGGATTTTTTTGTAATTTTAGAAAAATTAAGATTTTTTAAAATATAATAAAATTTTTAACTTTTTTTTAAAAATAAAAATTTTAAAATTATCATAATGTGACATGTCACTTAACGAGTTTTTTTTAACGGCCGTTACGGACGAGGTATTTAAAGTGTTAATATTTGTAACATTAGGCAAGTGGATTGATAAAAAAAAAGTTTAGGCAATGTTTTAGGAAAAACGGTATAATTTGAGCAATTTTTAAATATTAAGTCTTAATTTATCTATATCTTGAATCCACCAAGTGGCTTCAAATGTAAAAAAGATTTAGTTTAAGAAATTAATAAAGTTTTGAACAGATAATATTGTGTAATCACCTTATACTATTAAAAAAATTCTATATCCCATCTATGAATAACATTAACGTGACACGATAGAATATATAAATTAGATAAGATGATACGAGATGGGGAAATTAACAAGAAAATATAAGAATAATATACAAATATGTAAAAGTTCATTTGAAGTTTACAATTTATTTGTAATAAATTAAAGGTAAATATAGTTAAATAATATCTTGATTATATATTGTTTTAAAAAATAATAAATTGTTCTTTTTAAATTTAAATATACATAAAAATTAATATAATTAATTTTCAACTTTTATATTTTATTTTAATTTTATCATAATTTTTAAAAATTAATCCTTAACCTTTCAATATTTTACATTTTTATCCCTATCATCCATTTTTATTTTCGTCCATCATCATGCACCACTAAATCTTCACGTTAAATATTTCAAACTTGAGTAAAATTATTTACACTTCAAACAAACAAAATAATTATTTGTTGCTCTTCACATTCAAATCATATATCTTTGTGATATTTCATCATTCAATAAAACTAAAAAAAAGGTAAACTATATCATTTACCATTGAACTATTGTCCCATTTCATTTTGACCATCATTTTTGAAATTTTATCAATCAGATTATCCAATTATTTAAATGCATTCAATTAAGCCACTCGCCGTTAACATTTGATGAAAGTACTGACACGACAATTAATAAAATTAGTATAATCACACATTTGGTCACTCTTACTTATATATTCTATCAATTTTATCCTAATTTATTTTAATTTATTAAATTAAGTTTCCAACAATCATAGGGTGACCTGAGACTTGAAATTGGGTTGTTTGTGTGAGAAAAGTGCTACACAGCCACTAGGACAAAGCTGACTATTTGGTTTAAAGTGGATTATATGTGATACATATGTTGTATCTCAATGTAATCTTAAATTCTTCTTCTTCTTTTTTTGGTAAAAATATTAAATTCTTAATATCATATATATCTTAACATAAATTCAAATATTAATAAAATTTAATATATATTTTATTCTTATCTTAACTAAAGTAAAAAAAATTAAAATTTAAAAATATATTTTATTTTATCTTAACTTAAATATTTAAATTTAATTCTTATAATATTTTAAAATTAAGATAAAAATAAAATATATTTCTTAAATTAAAATATACAGTTTAAAATAAAAATAAAAATAAAATATATATTTTTAAGTTAAGATAAAAATAAATAATATTTGATAATTTAAGGTAAGAATATAATATATGTAATAAGTTAAGATAAAAATAAAATATATTTCTAAATGTTAAAATAATAAAAAATATTTTTAAGTTAAGGTAAGAATAAAATATACTTTGTAAGTTAAAATAAGATTAAAATATATATTTTTAGTTAAGATAAGAATAAAATATATTTAATAAGTTAATATAAAAATAAAATATATTTTTTAATGTTAAGATGTGAACTTAATTTAACTTGTGATTTTTTTAATAAAAAAATTTAATATGTAATTTTAAATTAAGATATATATAATATTAAGAATTTAAGATTATACTAAAAAATAAGATATATTTTACATATAGTGTACTTTAAGCCAAATAATCAAACCATGCCCAATGGTTGAGCTCTTCTTTTATCGCCTAAGGATCTTTGGTTTGAGTCTCAAGTTTTACACACCAACACTTTTAATATTCTTTCCACCATAGGGTGGTTGGTAGAAACTAAATCTGTTAAATTAAAATAAATTTAACCATCGAATTGGATGGTGCCAATATATATGTAAGAGTGATCAAATATGTAATTATACAATTTTTATTAACTGTCATGTCAGTATTTCTGTTAAATTTTAACGGAATGTGACTTGATTGAATGCATTTAAATACTCAGGTGACCTGATTGACAAAATTTAAAAAATGATAGTCAAAATGAAAAGAGGAAATAGTTAGATGGTTAGTGATATAGTTTATCCAAAAAATTATCCGTTATAATCTTACAAATTTCTCTCGATCTATTCCAAATCATATCTTAATGAAGATAAAACATGAAAGAAAAGAAATCAACAAAAGATATTTGAAATAAAAAGAAAAGCGAATTCCGAATAGACCCCAACTCGCATAAGCTCTCTCTATCAAAATTTTAGTTCAGAATAATTTCAATTTAATTAGACAAAAATAATTATAACAAGAAAATAATAAAAAAAATCCTTATTCAATGTCTAGATATTTTACATTATAAAAATAAGTCTATTGTCGGAGTGATAAAATTTTCAATTGCCTCCATTTTCAGATGTCTTAATTATGGTTAGAAGATAACCGTAAGTATGGTTAGAAGTAGGGATGGACACAGGACTTGAACCTCACAAGTTTCGACTTGACCAGACCCTATCGAGTCAAATTTTAAAAAAAAATTGGGTTCGGGTTAGGTCGGGTCAGTTTTTTTTAGAGACTATGTTCAGGACGGATTGGGTTCAAGTTTAGGTTGAAAAATATTTGACCTTGTTGAATAAATATTTTGATATAACATTAAATTATAAAATTGATTTGGACTAATCGAATTTATCAAAAACTTTATCAAAAATAATTCAAAGTCCAAATTAACTTGAAAATTTGGTTTTAAATGTTTTCTAACTTAGTCGAACCTTTTCAAAAACTTGATCATTCTTGAACTTTAAAGTCGAGTTTCCAAGTAGTTTTGGCTCAAAGGATCGAACCCCTTGTAAAATGATCGATCCCTTGGATACCATAAAGTTTTGGATCGATCCCTTCCCTAAAGGATCGATCCCTCGAGGAAAAAGACTGATCCATTTACCAAAAGGGTGGATCCCATGATGAAATAGATTGATCCATTAACCAAAAAGGTCGATCCCTCGATGAAAAAGATTGATCCCTTCCCCTAAAGGATCGATTTGATCTCTCGATGAAGAGGATAAATCCCTTTCCCTAAAAGATTGATCCCTTTCTTGCAACGATAGAATTATTTGAAAAAGGATCAATCCCTTATGCATTAAATGCTATTTTTGGTTGTAGATAACGGCTATAATGATCTCTAACGGCTCCAAACGGCTAGATTTAATAGAGAAGATATAAATTGAAGGTCAAAGGATCCCAAGGCCAACAAGAACCATATTGAACAAATATACCAACATCAAAGAAGTCATTTGTGCTTAATTTCTTAATCTTTTCATTGCAACACACTTGTGAGCTTTATTGTTTAATTTGCTCAAGTGTGATTTGGATGAGAGCTTATTGTTTGCAAACACATTTGTCTTTGTGAAGTTTTCTTTTGTTTGATAAATTTGTAATACTCTTTGGGAGAGTGTGCATTCAAGGTTTTAGGGTATAAACCTTGAAGTGTTTGTAATCTATCATTCTTAGTTTGAACTTTTTACTCGAACGCTTGTGTGTCATCCGCTTCTCATGATGGCACCATTTATCGAACCATAGTTTCTCACCTTATGGGTCATACCGTCACCATCACCAATGATTTCATCGCCCAATTTTTCAAGTCAAAGGATCCACTGAACCTTGTGTACAGGATGAACCTTTTCCATATGTTTGAGCTTCTTTGTATCGACACATCTTATGAGCGCGACACATTCCCTTCCAATGAGAGAATTGTCGAAACGGTTTTTTCTGAAGGGGAAAATAGGGTCTCTTTTCAAAATAATTTTTGATAATCGGTTAATGAAAAAATGTGGTTTGAGGAGTCGCCACCAATCCTTGATTAAGGTTTGATTGGGCACCCAAAATGTATTTTCCATTTTAATAAAATATTAATTTTAATTAAAACGACGAACTTGTGGTATGCGTTACCAAAATTCGAGCTCGGGAGTCGGTTACTTGTGGGGAAGAATTAGCACCCCCACAACGC